AGGTGGTTGAAGTTTCAGTAGGGGATTACTTTGGGAATAGTGACCACAATTCCTTAAGTTTTACAATACTCATGGACAAAGACAAGAGTGGTCCTAAAGGAAGAGTGCTGAATTGGGGAAAGGCCAACTATCGCAAAATTCGGCAGGAGCTGGGGAATGTGGATTGGGAGCCACTGTTTGAGGGTAAATGCACATTTGATATGTGGGAGGCTTTTAAAGAGAGGTTGATTAGAGTGCAGGACAGACATGTTCCTGTGAAAATGAGGGATAGATAGGGCAAGATTAGGGAACCATGGATGACAGGTGAAATTGTGAGACTAGCAAAGAGGGAAAAGGAAGCATACATAAGGTCTAGGCGACTGACGAAGCTTTGGAAGAATATCGGGAAAGTAGGACCAATCTGAAACGAGGAATTAAGAGGACTAAAAGGGGTCATGAAATATCTTTAGCAAACAGGGTTAAGGAAAATCCCAAAGCCTTTTATTCATACATAAGGAACAAGAGGGTAACGAGAGAAAGGGTTGGCCCACTCAAGGACAAAGGAGGGAAGTTATGCGAGGAGTCAGAGAAAATGACTGAAATTCTTAATGAGTACTTTGCGTCGATATTCACCGAGGAGAGGGACATGATGGATGTTGAGGTTAGGGATAGATGTTTGATTACTCTAAGTCAAGTTGGCATAAGGAGGGGGGAAGTGTTGGGTATCCTGAAAGGCACTAGGGTGGACAAATCCCCAGGTCCGGATGGGATCTATCCCTGGTTACTGAGGTAAGCGAGAGAGGAAATAGCTGGGGCCTTAACAGATATCTTTGCAGCATCCTTGAGCATGGGTGAGCTCCCGGAGGACTGGAGAATTGCTCATGTTGTCCCCTTGTTTAAGAAGGGTAGCATGGATAATCCAGGTAATTATTGACTGGTGAGCCTGACGTCAGTGGTGGGGAAGCTGCTGGAGAAGATACTGAGGGATAGGATCTATTTACATTTGGAAGAAAATGGGCTTATTAGTGATAGGCAGCATGGTTTTGTGCAGGGAAGGTCATGTCTTACCAACTTGATAGAATTCTTTGAGGAAGTGACAAAGTTGACAGATGAGGGAAGGGCTGTAGGTGTCATATACATGGACTTCAGTAAGGCGTTTGATAAGGTTCCCCATGGTTGGCTGATGGAGAAAGTGAAGTCACATGGGGTCCAGGGTGTACAAGCTAGATGGATAGAGAACTGGCCGGGCAACAGGAGACAGAGAGTTGTAGTGGAAGGGAGTTTCTCAAAATGGAGAACTGTAACCAGTGGTGTTCCACAGGGATCCGTGTTGGGACCACTGTTGTTTGTGATATACATAAATGATCTGGAGGAAGGTATAGATGGTCTGATTAGCAAGTTTGCAGATGACACTAAGATCGGTGGAGTAGCTAAGCTTGGTGGGACTGTCGGAGAATGCAGCAGAATATAGATAGATTGGAGAGTTGGGCGGAGAAATGGCAGATGGAGTTCAATCCAGGCAAATGCAATGTGAAGCATTTTGGAAGATCCAATTCAAGAACGAACTCTTCGGTAAACGGAAAAGGCCTGGGGAAAATTGATGCACAGAGAGATCTGGGTGTTCAGGTCCATTGTACCCTGAAGGTGGCAACGCAGGTCGATAGAGTGGTCAAGAAGGCATACGGCATGCTTTCATTCATCGGACGGGGTATTGAGTGCAAGAGTTGCAGTTGTATAGGACTTTGGTTCGACCACATTTGCAATACTGCGTACAGTTCTGATCGCCACATTACCAAAAGGATGTGGATGCTTTGGGGAGGGTGCAGAGAAGGTTCACCAGGATGTTACCTGGTATGGAGGGCTCTCGCTATGAAGAGAGGTTGAGTAGATTAGGATTATTTACATTAGAAAGACGGAGGTTGAGGGGGAACCTGATTGAGGTCTACAAAATCATAAGAGGTATAGACAGGGTGGATAGCAAGAAGCTTTTTCCCAGAGTGGGGGACTCAATTACTCGGGGTCACGATTTCAAGGTGAGAGGGGAAAAGTTTAAGGGAGATATGCGTGGAAAGTTCTTTACGCAGAGGGTGGTGGGTGCCTGGAACACGTTGCCAGAGGAGGTGGTAGAGGTGGGCATGATAGTGTCATTTAAGATGTATCTAGACAGATACATGAATGGGCAGGGAGCAGAGGGATACAGATCCTTGGAAAATAGGCGACAGGTTTAGATAGAGGATCTGGATCGGCGCAGGCTTGGAGGGCCGAAGGGCCTGTTCCTGTGCTGTAATTTTCTTTGTTCTCTTTGTTCTTTGTTCCAACTAATCTCTCCTTATAACCCAGTTTCTCCATCCCAGGTAACATTCCGGTGAACTTCCTCTGTATCTCCACCAATGCTGTCACATCCTTCCTGTAGTAAGGTGACTAGAACTATACAAGTTGTGGCCTGACCAACACTTTGTACATCTCCAACATTATCTCTTTGCTATTATACTCTGTGTCACGACTGATGAAAGCAAGTGCCCCATGTTCCTACTTTACTGTATGTGTCAGTACCTCCATCTAAGGAATCAGTCTGGTAAACCTTCATTGCACTGCCTCTACAGCCAGAGCATCCTTCCTCAGATAAGGAGACCAAAATGCCACACAATACTCCAGGTATGATCTTACCAAGGCTCTGTATAATTGCAGCAAGACATCCCTGCTCTTGTACTTGAATCCTCTGGCTATGAAGGCCAACGTACCATTTACCTTCTTCACCACCTGCTGCACCTGCATGCTGACCCTCAGTGACTGGTGTTCAAGGACACCCAGGTTTTGTTGCAGCCCCTGCCTTTTGCAATCTATCACCATTCAAATAATAAACTGCCTTCCTGCTTTTGCCATCAAAGTGGATAGCTTCACATTTATCCACATTATACTTGATTTGCCATGCATTTTCCGACCTGCAAGCTCCCCTCCAAGCCACTCACCATCCTGACTTGAAAATATATCGTCATTCCTTCACTGCCATTGGATCAAAATCCTGGAATTCCCTCAATAAGGGCATTGTGGGTCCACCCACAGCAGGTGGACTGTAGCAGTTCAAGAAGACAGCTCCCCACCACCTTCTCAAAGGCAACTAGGGATCGACAATAAATGCTGGCCATCCAGTTAGTGCTGGCCACATCCCATGAATGAATTAAAAAAAAAACACTTCTTAATCTTCTCTACTCCAAGGAGAATAAGTCCAATCTCTGTAATCTTTCCTTGTATCTAAAATCCTTCATTCCTGGTATCATTCTAGCTAATTTCCTTTGAACTCTCTCCAGGGCCTTCTTAATAACTGTTTCAATTTGCCTAGCTACCTTCAGGGAATCATGCATGTGAACCCTGAGGTCCCTCTGCACCCATATTCCCCTCAGAGTTGTATCATTGAGCCTGTATTTTGTCTCTGTATCTCTTCTACCAAAATGCATTATCTCAGTGAATGGAAAAACTCACTCAATTTGTCCACATGACATTGAAACATCACTGTATCTTCCTCATAATCCACCCTCCCATCTAGTTTTGTGTCGTCTGCAAACTTGGAGATAGTGCATGTTCTTCCCTCATCTAAATCACTAATATATGTTGTGAATAGAATTCCAAGAATGAATAAACAAAAATTGGACTTAATTTTTTTTACATTTACTTGTGCCCTTGAACTGAGTGGCTTGCCAGGCCATTTCAGAGGGAAGTTAAAAACCAATGACACTGCTGTGGGTCTGGAGTCACATGTAGACCAGACCAGGTAAGGATGGCAGATGGGTTTTTCATTCAATCAGCAATGGTTTCACAGTCATTGGTAGATTCTTAATTCAAGATTTTTTAAAATTTAATTTAAATTCCACCATCTGCCGCAGCAAGATTTGAACCTGGGTCCCCAGAACACTCGCTAAGTTTCTGGATTAGTAGTGTAGCAATAATACATTAGACCATTGCCTCCCCAATGAACATAATCACTCAGATGCTGGTGAGCCTATGGAATTCTTTACCACAGAAGGCTGTGGAATCCAGGTCAATGAATGTATTTATGAAAGAAATAGAGAGATAGTGTAGTAAATGTGAAACCTTCTAAGGTGGTTGGGTTTTAAACTGCCTCCTTCCAATTTAAGGTAAACCAGAACATTCTGGATGGGAAATGGCATGATCATACTAATTCTTTCCAGAGACAGACCCATGTGATCCGTAACCAAAACCTATCGAGGTTCAGCTGACTGTTTTTAGACCCTGACACAAAGGAAGGGCAGTTGATTTTCTGAATAGTTCCAGAAGTGGGCCACTTCTACCTTCAAAATTTGGCAGATGAAACTGGGGATAACTTACTTTGTTCCAAGGACAATGAGGGGAGATTTGATAGAGGTGTACAAGTTAATATCAGGGTTCGATAAGATAGACAAGGAAAGAACTATTCCTGCTGGCTGCTGGCTGATGGCACGAAGACTAGGGACAGCAATTTATAGTATTGAGTGAGTGTTGTGGGGACGATGTGAGGCCAAATATTTATAGGAGTACAAATCAATCAACATTTTTGCATGGCAATACTTTTCTGAGTGAGGTGCTAGTGAAACCACCCAAAGACACAGCAGGTTCAGAAGGGATACCAGGGAAACTAAACAGATGTGTTTGTCTCTGGCCTGAATGACCTTCTGGGTTATGGTGTTTTTCAGTGAAATCTCTTTTGCTGAAAATGGGCTGACTTCAGCTCAAAACAGCTCCCCAAATATTTTATTGGTTTAAGAAAGGGGAATTGTTAAGCATCTTCCTGTCGCATATTGACGGTTTCTTCTGAGATGGTACAGCAGAATTTAATAAATGTTAATATGATTACAGAAGCATTTAAAATTGGGAATCAGATTTGTGGGATTTTAAATAAAATGGTTGGGGTATAAAATCAGCAAACTCACTTAGTGTTATGTTCATCCTGGTTATTCATACTAAGTCATCACACGAAGATATTCTTTTAAGTAAAGAAGAGACAGAGCAATTGTGAGCTTGATTAGTCAGGTTGACCTGATTCGGCACTTCCAGATGGGTACTTGAGTGCAGCCAGTTTCATAATATTTCTTATGGACGAAAATCAGAAAAATTAATTTGTAAAGTAAGAAAATAAAAAGCGTTTTTACAAACACTTTAGCTACTAAAACACTGGCTATTGTGGTGACAGTGGATATGCAATTCTATGAGTCAAAGATTTTAAGTCAGAGGCCATACTGAAGATAGTATACCTGTTGAATGTTATGTGAATAATTCAGTTTAACATAGGATAATATTTTGATTTGATTTGATTTATTGAAATTTGAGTATCGGAGTAAGGATGTCTTGCTGCAGTTATACGGGGCCTTGGTGAGGCCACACCTTGAGTATTATGTGCAGTTTTGGTCTTCTAGTCTGAGGAAGGACATTCTCACTCTTGAGGAAGTCCAGCGAAGGTTCACCAGACTGATTCCCGGGATGGCAGGATTGAGATCTGAAGTAAGACTGCATCAACTGGGCTTGTACTCACTGGAATTTAGAAGAATGAGAGGGAATCTCATAAGAATATTTAATTCCTGATGGTACTGGACAGGCTAGATGTGGGAAGAATGTTCCTGATGTTGGGAAAGTTCAGAACAAGGGGTCACAGTCTAAGAATAAGGGGTAAGCCATTCAGGACTGAGATGAGGAAGAATTTCTTCATTCAGAGAGTTGTGAACCTGTAGAATTCTCCCCCTTAGGAAGCTGTTGGGGTAATTCATTAGATATATTCAAGAGGGAGCTGGATGTGGCCCTTGCAGCTAAAGGGATCAAGGGGTATGGGGAGAAAACGGGAATGGGATACTGAGATTGCATGATCAACCATGATCATAGTGAATAGTGGTTTAAGCTTGAAGGGCCGACTAGCCTACACCTGTACCTATTTTCTATTATTGTCACATGTACCTAAGTACAGTGAAAAGTTTTGTTTTGTGTACACTACAGGCATTCAAAGATCATAGGGTAATTGAACAGAATGAGGAGTACAAAGTTACAGCTGCAAAGAAGGTGCACAAAAGGCGAGATTCACATTAGATTTGAAATTTGAGAGGTCCATTCAGAAGTCTAATGACAGCAGGGGAGAAGCTGTTCTTGAACTTGTTGGTATGTGTGTTTAAGTTTTTGTATCTTCTGCCTGACAGGAGAGGTTAGCAGAGATTATAATCAGGGAGGGGTTTTTGATCATGTTGGCTGCCTTTTCACAGCAACAAGAAGTGTAGATGGAGTCAATGGATGGAAGGATGGCCTCCATGATTGTCTGGGCTGTGTTCACAACTTTCTGTCCTTTCTTATGGTCCTGGGCAGAGCAGTTGCCGTACCAAGCCGTGGTGCATCCAGATAGAATGCTCTCTTTGATGCATTTGTAAAAGTTAGTGAGGGTCCTTATGGACATGCTGAATTTCCTTAGCCTCCTGAGAAAGAAGAGGTGTTGTTATGCCTTCTTGACTGTCCCTTCAATGTCGGGGGACCAGGACAGATTGTTGGTGATAAAAAGGTAAGAGATTGACCTTATTGGCTTGCAATGGAGAGAAAAAAAACCTGTGACATTGAAATGGTGGATGCAATTGTCAAAAATAAATGCACATAAAAAAAAGTAATTGGAGTAATCAAATACTTTGTACAAAATATCCAAGTTTTTGCATTTAGTATGTTTTGAAATTTTGTTTGTGCATATACTATCCTCCAGCAATTCATTTTCCAGAAATAAACATTAAGCATATGATCTGCAAGTTATACATAGAACTTTAATTACGTGAAGAATGGGAATTTTAGGATTTCAATACAAGTAGCAGTTCTGGTGCTGTACGGTTTCATGAAGCACATGATAACATGCAAAACTTATATTTTACAATGTTAGGGACCATTAATTTCTTACCATTCCATGGCGCTTGCCATGTTCATAGGCACCTTCATATGTGTCACCATTTGGCAATATAGCTTTCCCTTGACCATGTCTTTCATTTTCCTCATTCCGATCACCTTCATATTCCTATCAGAAGGACCAAATGGAAAAGCATATTTCAAACATTATCTTTGATACAAAGGGCCATAAGGCCTGTGGGAAGGCAGTGTCAGGTAAAAAGACAAGTCATAACTGAGTGTCTTGTTGTCCAGCTTTTGGAACAGGCTGTCTGACTCTCAAACCAAACTCCAAAAAAATTCTTCACTAAGTTTGCCAAATGCAGACCTTTGTTATCTTTCCTGATCCCAGAGTGGAGACCAGTCACTGAACCCAGTGGATAGCTCCAGTTCAAGGGATCTAGGCTAGGACAAGTGTTAGATATACTATAGCCGTGGAAGAATAGTCCTAGTTTCAGCTCCCAGGATGGTCACACTTACAGCTTAATCTGTCTTGAAGCATGGAGTTATAGTGAATCCTAGGATGGGCAGTTAGTTTCTGTCCTAGAAATGGCTGGGGGTCTCATTCTGTAAACGGCCTGTGTTAATTTTGACCTCTCTCTTTTTTTATTTTCAAATACGATCTTGCTTTCTGTTTTATGTTACTTGTTAGTTTAGTCTCATAGTTTATCTTCTCCCTTATTTTGGTCAACTTTTGTTGAATTTTAAAACATTCCTAATCCTCTGTTTTACCAATAATCTTTGCCAGACTGCCTTTTTTCTTTCAACTTGATGTTATCCTTAACTTCCTTGGTTAACCATGGTTAGTTTACCTTCTTGTAGAATCCTTCTTCCTCACTGCAATACATTTTTTTTTGTGAGTAACAAACTATTTTCTTAAGCATCTGTCATTGCTCCTCAACGTTTTTTTTGCTAAACTCCTTTCCCATTTCACTCCAATCAACTCCACTGTCATTCCTTCGTAATTACCCTCCTTAAAGAGGCGACAGCCTAGTGGTATTATTGCTATACTGTTAATCTAGAGATCCAAGTAATGTTCTGAGGACCTGGGTTTGAATCCTGCCATGGCAGATGGTGGAATTTGAATCCAATAAAAATCTGGAATTAAGAGTCTAATGATGGCCATGAATCCATTGTCGATTATTGGAAAAACCCATCCGGTTCATTAATGTCCTTTAGGGAAGGAAACTGCCATCCTTATCTAGCCTATGTGTGAGTCCAGACTCACAGCAATGTGGTGGACTGTTCATTGCCTGATGGGTACTAAATGCTGGCCTAGCCAGTAACTCCCTCATCCAGTGGATGAATGAAAAAAAATTTAAGTTGAGCACATTTGTTTCAGACCAAAGTTTCTCATTCTCAAATGTATTGGTCATGGTTCCCTCATGGATTATTTTAACTGCAATTCTTTGTTAAACATGCCTCATTACATATACGTGGTGCAATGAAAACAATCTGTCTCTCAACGTCAGCAAAACTGATCATCGACTTCAGAAGGAAAGGAGGAGAATACACTCCATCTACATCAACGGAACTGAGGCTGAGAGAGAGAAAAGTGTCAAGTTCCTCAGAGTGACGATTACCAATGATCTGTCCTGGACTTCCCACATAAATGTGACAGTCAAGAAGGTACAACAATGCCTATTCTTCCTCAGGCGGCTCAAGAAATTTGGCATATCCGTAAGGTCCCACCAAAAGCATACTGTTTGGGTGCATAACGGCCTGGTATGGCAACTGCTCTGCCCAGGACCGTAAGAAAATACTGAAGGTGGTGTGCACAGCCCAGGCCATTGCAGAAGACAACCTTCAATCCATGGACTTTATTTACATGGCTCGCTGCCGCAGAAAGTTGGCCAACATCATCAAAGACCCATCACAACCTGGTAGTGACCTCCCACAACCCCTTCCGTCAGGCAGAAGATACAGAAGCCTGAACACACACACTAGCAGGTTCAGGAACACCTTCTTTCTGGCCATTATTAGACTGTTGAATGGACTCTTGTCTCAAATAATGTAACTTGTATGCCTCCGTGTCTTTTTGATCTGCACGTCCTTTGCTTGCTGTGATCTGCCTGTACCGTTGGTAAACAAAGTTTTTCACTGTACTTCAGTGTATATGACAATAAATCAATCAATCAATCAATTACCTGTCAGAATAGCCTGATTCCTTGTTGGAACCACAACAGGTTGTTCTGGGAAACTGTCCCTAACATACTCTATGAATTCCTTCTTATGTTTACTTCTGACAATTTGATTTTCCCAATTTGCAAGAAGATTACCCATGGTTAATGTGCTGTCTTTTTAACATGCCCTCATAATCTCCTAACATATACAGCTAAATCTTCACTTCCCCGATTTGATCTCCTGGTGCCTCTGCATCATGATAAAGGAAAGGAGGGGGAATTAATGAATCCAAAGCCACCAGAATTCCACCTCAGCCGATTTGATTTTCCCAATCTACATGAAGATTCAAGTTACCCACTGTTAGTGTACTGCCTTTTTAACATGCCCTCATTATCTCCCAATTTATGGTCGGTACTATAGTATAAGGGGCCAGTAGGCTACTATCCCTAATTTCCCTTGTTAGCCATGGTCTGACCATGATTCTTACTTTATGTTTTATGCCAGACTGGTTTGCAGATGGTCCATGCACTCTTGAAATGTTTGCCATTGCCTACCTACTATCATCCTTTAAATAATGATCCCACATTGATTGACACCTCATGTCAACATGATTTGTTTCATGGGAATACTGTGGCGAGTAACCCACCTCCTGATTCCTCAAAGCCTGTCCACCATCTACAAGGCACAAGTCAGGAGTGCGATGGAATACTCCCCACTTGCCTGGATGAGTGCAGCCCCATCAACACTAAAGAAGCTTGACACCATCCAGGACAAAGCAGCCCACTTGATTGGCACTACACCCACAAGCATTCACTCCCTCCACCACCGACGCTCTGTAGCCAGTAGTGTGTACTATCTACAAGATGCACTGCAGAAATTCACTAAAGATCCTCACATAGCACCTTCCAAACCCACGACCACTTCCATCTAGAAGGACAAGGGCAGCAGATACATGGGAACACCACCACCTCCAAGTTCCTTTCCAAGTCACTCACCATCCTGACTTGGAAATATATTGCTGTTCCTTCACTGTAGTTGTGTCAAAATCCTGGAATTCCCTCCCTAGTAGCATTGCGGGTCAACCCACAGCAGGAGGAATGCAGCGGTTCAAGAAGGCAGCTCACCACCACCTTCTCAAGGGCAACTAGGGATGGGCAAGAAAAGCTGGCCATCCAGCGATGCCCACATCCCACGAAATGAATAGAAAAAAAATGAAGTTCAGGACCCTAGTATTAGAAACAACTCCATCAATCTCCACCTAACTGAAGAACTCTATTTTATTTTGTGGTCACTCTTTCCTCTGTGCCCACACACAACTAAATTGTCAATTATTCCTTCCTCGTTACACAATACCCTGTCAAGGATGGCCTTTTCTCCAGCTGGCTCCTTAATATATTGATTAATAAAACTATCTCAATACACTCCAAGAATTTCTCCCCTGCGGTATTGCTTCTGATGTGATTTGCCTAATCTATATGCAGAGTGAAGTCACCCATAATTTCAGCTGTAGCTTTATCGTTTGCATCTCTAATTTCCTTTTTAATGCCTTCCCAATTTTAGCATTACAGTTTGGGGGTATACATATAGTTTTCTGCCCCTTTGTGTTTCTAAGCTCAATCCAACAAATTCGACTTCACCAGAGCTAATTTCCCTTCCTCACAATTGCATTAGTTTCCTTTTTATTCAGCAATGCTATCCCACCTTTTTTAATTGTCTGTCCATTCCTAAAACTGAAAACCCTCGAATATTCATTTTCCAAATCTGGTCACCTTGCAGCCGTGTGTCTGTATTCCCAACTATATCATACCTATTTAGATCAATTAGTATGACTAATTCATCCATGTTATTGCAAATGCTCTGTGCATTAACATACAAGGCCTTAAGACTTGTCTTTTTAGCATTCTAAGTCCCATTCACTGTGGTCTTGCTCAATCTTAGCCCTTGAATTCTCTGCCTATCACTTTTCTTATTTCCCATTCTGTCTTTTGTCTTAGTTCTTATTTCCCTGTCATTCACCTCCCCATACATGCTCCCATTCACCTGCCAATTTAGTTTAAACCCACACTGATCACACTTGAAAACATATCCTCTGGGACGTCAGTCCCAGTCCTGCCCAAGTGCAACCTATCCAGCTTGTACAGGTACCACCTCCCCCGGATCCAGCCCCAATGCCCCAGGAATCTGAAATTCTACCCCTTGCACCATCTCTCCAGCCATGAGTTCATCTGCTATATTCTGCTATTTCTACTCTGACTAGTAAGTGGCACTGGTAGCAATCCCAAGATCACGGTCTTTAAGGTCTTATTTTTTAACTTGCTTCCTAACTCCCTACATTCTGCTTTTAGGACCCCTTTTCTTTTCTTACCTATGTCGTTGATACTAATGTGTACCATAATCACTGACAGGTCACTGTCCCACTTCAGAATGTCTTGTAACCACTCTGAGACATCCTTGACCCTAGCACCTGGAAGACAACATACAATCCTGGAGTCTTATTTGTGGCCACAGAACCAGCTATCCATTCCCCTTACTATTGACTCCCTATTAAGATAGTATTCTCACTCTTTTCCTCTTCTCCTGTGCATCAGAGCCAAATGTGGTTCAATTGATTTTGTTGCTGCCATTTTCCTCTGAGAAGTATTCAGAGCTTATATCTGGTTTGCAGAAGAATGGCCATAGGGGATTCCTGCACTATCTGCCTAGTCCTCTTACTTTGTCTGGTGGTCACCCATTCCTTTGTTGCCTGTTGAGTCTTATTTGCGATGTGGCCACCTCTCTGTGCATGCTACATACGATACTTTCTGCGTCATGGACGCTCCACAGTGTTCCCAGCCACTACTTCAGCTAGAAACTCAGACCTCCAGGAGATGGAGTTGGAGACAGATCCCACATACATGCTGGCATACAGCATGTTTGATATAATCCACTAGTCTTTGGAACATACGGCCTACATTCCTGGCATCATACGAGCACTGGAATTCATTTACCACGTCACTCAGTTATGTGAGAGGCAAAACATCTTTTTGCAGGTTCCTGTTAGTAGTGGGTACCAGGGTAATCAGAGGTAGACTGCACACACTTTTCCGGATAAAAAGTTAACATCTTAGAGCCTTTCAGGAGTCCTTGTGACAAACAGCACAAAATGACCTGATCAGCATAGCCATTGTCCCACATGATGATTTTGATGTATTCTATTTCATGGTGAACAAATGGCTGGGTGCTATTTATGTGCTTGCTGGAAAGGCCAATCTCATAGCATGTGGAGGTGTAGAAATCCCAATGTGTATACGAGCCAGGGAATATAGCTTTTGGGTAGACAGTATTAGAGAAACCCCTAACTGACTGATCAATTAGGACATTGAGGAAGGGGAGCTCATTTTGTTCCATTGATGGTTCAAAGATGGTTCAATTTTGAAAGGAAATTTGAGTTCAGGATGGTTCTGTCTCTGGGATGAAATTGGCTTTGCAAGGTTTCCACCACCTCTGGCCTGGAGACATTAGATGGTCCTAATCCCAGGACTTAGTTTGAATCCTTATCATTGTGAGGCTGTTGACCCAGTTATCTGGGACAGTGCACACATTCTGGTCATTATAACATTGCTGAATAAACTCACCCCTAAATAAGGGCCCTGTTCCTCTTCAAACTCGTCAGATTCTGTCACTGACATCCTCTTAGTGGCAGGTCCTCAAAACAGCTCCTTGGCCAGTGACACTCTTCAATCCAGCTCAATCTCCCTCTCTGCCTATGCTCTCCTTCATTCCCTCCTTGCCCTCTCACACCCTTCTCTCTCCTGTCCCAGTGTCCTCACTCCCTCCTCACCCTCTCACCTCTTTCTCCTATCCCTGTGTCCTCTCTCCCTCTGCTCCTTCCTCACCCTCTCACACACCTCTCTCTCCAGTCTGTGTCCTCTCTCTCTGCTTTCCTTCGCTGCCTCCTCACTCTCTCAGCTCTTTCTCCTATCCCTGCATCCTCGCTCTCTGCTCACTTTCGCTCCTTCCTCACCCTCTCACCTCTTCCTCCTGTCCCTGTGTCCTCTCCCTCTGCTCTCCTTTGCTCCTTCCTTACCCCCTCACACACCTCTCTCTCCTGTCCCTGTGTCCTCTCTCCCTCTGCTCACTTTCACTCCTTCCTCACCCCCTCACACACCTCTTCCTCCTGTCCGTGTCCTCTCCCTCTGCTCTCCTTCGCTCCTTCCT